ATCGAACAGAGCAATTCATCATCAGCTATTGAAATTATGTTTGAGCTCTGGCGAAGGGAGCTCACAAAAGTAGGTGGCGTTTTTCTCACATCCACAATCTATGCCGGCGTTTTGCCATTAGCCACGCTTTGTATAGGATATATGCGAATTTAAATAAAATTATTCAATATCTTCATTAATCAAAGCAATGCCTGCTTTCTGAAGATGCACCGCAACCGAAAAATCAAATGAAATTGATACTCAATTAGCGATGTGCTTTTTAAGCGCACCTTAACGATGGATTAGATTAAAAGTCCTGCATATCGATAATCTATTTGCGTTGAAGTGCTTTGCCAACTATGCTCAACTATGTTAACTTACAGTGCACAGTTAAGCGAAGCTGCAAGTTCGCCAATATTAGCACTGTTAACACTGCACTGAAACAAGTTTGACATGCTACGTTATGTTGAGTTACGTTAGAGACGCTTTAAAACGTAAAGCTCCACAATTGCGGCAGTAAAATTTGGTTTAATGTTATGCAAATATGAAATAAAACCCCTTAACCATATCGATATTCAAATAACTCTTTACTGTAACATGCAACATGCTATGTTAAAATTTGTTTTTCATTATTCACAACAATTGTTAAAAGAAAAAACAAATTTATCGACTGACAAGAATGAAGCCCACGCCAGCCCAGCCCAGCTCGATGCGTATGTAAAAAAGTAACCATGGCGAATCGAGAGGCTGCAGCGTGCACACAAGCACACTTAATTTCCGCTTAATCACTCAGAACATTTTGACGACGACCCACATTAAATGTGGTATATGGCAGATGCTGGCTGGAATCGGCCAACCCTCTGGCATCCAAAGATCAACAGACAGACGCAAGGGCTCATTTGCATTGGGCTTTAAATGCTTTGATGGGCAACGACAGAGACGGAGACGGAGACGGAGACAACTATGAGTACGGCTGTTGGGGCGTAAAAACTCACAGGGCGTTGCATCATTGCCAAAAGACGGGGGAAGGTCTTTTGGGGAGCTAGACAGTTGCTGTATATCAAAAGAAAACTGTGTCAAAATTTTCCAGGAATTATTGCCAAGTGCTGTAATCGCAATTGCCACGGAGAAGCAAGTGCTGTAGATACAGATGGAAAGAAAAAAAAAGGCAGAGGGTAGATCCTGCACACGCGACATATTCGACTGAATAGGTGGGCTTATAAAACCACAATCAGTGAACGATCACCGATCTATTATGGCGTGATCTATAGTGCTAAAAGCCATAAAAGTTCACTGAACGCTTCCCTGGAAAGATGTGCAAAGGACGAAATGTCGAAAAGTTGCCAACAGAACACAAAAATCGTTGAGGCAATCAGTGACCGTGAAATCGCAGCCCAATGATATATGGGCAGGCTACGAGAAAAACTTTCCCAAAAAAAAAGGAACTACAACTACAACGAGCAGGAAACGAAGTGAAACGCCGGCATATTTTATGGCGGGTAGAGATGATCTTCCTTTAGGTGATGCACATGGTTCCGTCTTCTCTGCCCTCGAGTTCCTCAGAAAAATTTGCGTGTGCTATGGCTCAGGTAACTGAACATTTCGCCTCTATAGCCACTACTCTGGCACGATAATAACTAAATAAACAGTTTTTGTCCTTAAAAATTGTGTCAAAAAAGAGCGAGCTCTACTTTTTGGACGGTTTATTGTTATAGCAAAAAGGGTTTTTACGCTGGTCGACTTTTGTTTTGACTTCTTGACTTGAAACTTTGAAGTTCCATGAAAAAATATTGGTTTGATCTCTTTTAATTGTTGTAGTAGAACAGACAAAGTTGGGAAAGAGTTTTCTTAAGCTGTCTTTGTCTCTCTCTCTCTCTCTCTCTCTCTCTCTCTTCTCTATCTCTGTCTTTCTCTGGTATAGTTCGCTCCCACTCAAAAGTAAATCATATTCGAGAGTGAGCTACTAATTTATGCATTATGTTCAGGTAGACTCCGCCCCTACCTTTGTCTCTTCAATGGAATAACGCACCCTTAAAGACAACGCCCCAAACAAAAATTTACCACAAAAACTCGGCGTAGCGAATGAGAAATCGAAATTCGTTTTGCTCTTTGGTAAATGGTATGCGGTTAAAACAGAAATACGGCCAACCATATGAGAATGGCTATGAACAAACATGGCAGGGTTCCTCATCTCTTTGACCTTGGACACTGCGTTGAGACTCCCTACCGAAAGGCCCATATGTAGGAGTAGTACGAGCCATATCGTTCTGGTTTCCAAATTTGTTTCGCATCTCCGTGCTGCCCCTCACAGTTATGCCGAGCCGTATGTGCGGTTTAAGTTCTGGTCGCAGTTTTGGTCGCCGATCTTCATGTTCGCACAGCAAGGTGCATGACCTTAGTTACGCTGTGCTTGTTTGTTGTCTTTCGCAGAACGACTGCAAATATTTTGGGTGATTATTTTAGATAATCTTTGTCTAATGTCCTTGGTGTATTTCAATTGCAGCACAACAGTCTATAGTTTATAAACTTTGTAGATGATTGATTTGAATGAAAGCAATGAATGCAGTGAATGAACTCAACCTTTAGTACGTTACTCAGCAGAAAACGCTTTTTATAAATATTTCAAAATTAGCGATATCTATTTACAAATAAATATATGACGCAATTTAGATATATTTTATGTTTTGCCATAGTGTGCCATGTTTATTTAAACAAAAACGTTCTAGCTCCGAGTTTTTAAATAAATTATATTGACTTGGTGTACAATTTCTGCAAATAAGTCTGTTCAAAAGCCTAACATAAATTTAAATTTCGATTATAGGTCGAAACGATACGGCGATATTAAGCCGCCGATTGTTCAAATTGATTAACATAAATATCGATACTCAGTCTAGAAACGATTCCTCTTTTTAGTAGTTATTTCCTTATCCGTTCGTCAATTTGAGTTTTGATAAATTAAAGTAAAAGTACATTTTTTAAACCAATATTAATTGCCTCAAAGCTATTTTTAATTTAGAAGTATATGGGATTGGAAAGAGAACATTAAATCAAATATATCGATATTTTATGCATGGTTGACGCGATTTGCGGCCCACACACGTTACTCTTCATGCGCCTCACGCAACTCACACGTACACACATACTCACACCTTGTGTCAAGCCAAAACAAGTGTTACATCGTTTTTCTCGTAATTAAATCATATATATCAAACAAATTAAATAGAATGTCCGATCAAAAACCAAACAATGACGGTGATGAGCTAAATGATTTGCTAGACAGTAAGTAGACATGGGTAGGTACCCAGAGTGCATCTGGTTAACTTATATAACGAGATTCTATTACACATTACAGATGCACTGCAAGACTTTGACAAAAGCAATAGTGGAGCCAAGCCGGAAAAGACGGCGGGCACGACAGATGGGACAGGGAATGCTACTAGCGAAGTCAACGAAGATCCCGATGCGTTTTTCATGTGAGTTGTTCGAATTGGTTTGTCTTTGTTATCGAATCCATTTGGACTTTGGAGTTGCAGCGAACAGGCGAAAGTCTTGGCGGATCGAATGAATACACTTTTCGGAGGCCCGGACACGCCCAGTGGCGACATTCCACCAATGCCACAGGATCCAGAGCAAATAATGGCCGGCTTCAAGAAAATGGCAGAAGCTGCCGCCCTCACACTGAGTGGAGAGAACACTGCCAACGACGACGAGGTGTCCAAGTATTCCGATAGCATTTCCCAAGCTCTCAAAGTACGTAGCCTAACAAGAATGATCTCGAATCATTCAATAATCAATCCATTGTATCTTTTGAAAGGGTCTTCAAGAGGGCACAGAAAATCTTGCTGCACCCGCGTCCGAGAATGACATTGCCAGCATGTTTGGATCCTTGAATCTAGAGGTAAAGTGATGTGAAACTACTTCTATTATCTAATAACTTATATTCAATATATCTTAGGGCGGCGAAAGTGATAGTAATAGTTTCCTGCCTTTTATGGAGGGCATGATGCAGAGCTTGCTATCTGCTGAGATCCTACTGCCTAGCATTAAGGAGCTGCTGGAGAAGTATCCCAAGTATTTGGAGGAAAATGACGCCAAGCTCTCAGCGGAGGATAAAGAAAGGTGATTCATCATTTAGACTTCGCCCAACTGTTGCCAACTACGTGACTCGCATGCATATTAGCTTAATTATTTATACAGTAAGAGCTCTGTAAAGCAAACCTAGACGTGAGGGAAGGCTGTCTATAAGTTGAGAATTTCAGATATGTATATGAGAAGTTAGCAAAATTATGGAACTATGACTTTGCCATTAGTATATGTAAAGATAGAAGTAAATCTGAGGCAGGTGAATATGATGTCAGAAAGCCCGTTTAGGAGATTAACTTGGAATTAAGAAATTAATGTAGAGCTGTCATGTGAAGCTATACATGTTTTGTACAAGAATGAATGGATGTTGTGTAAAGAAAATGTAGAAGTGGGGCAAACGCTATTTACATGTTTTATAGCAGGAACTAATATTAAGAAAGGAACTTGGAATCTTTATTGTATTGCTTACTTAATGTGCCTAATCCCGTTTTCAGTTTGTTTTGTAGCGCTTGCACTGGGTGTCTCGTTACATTTTCATTCTTATATTAAACGCTGTCTTCCTCCACAGGTACCAAAAGCAGATGGAGCTGTACAAAGTGATTGAGGGCCATTTGCAGAGCGAAAAGCCCGATGATACACCCTCCGTCAAACGCGAGAAATTCCGGGTGGTGCTGGATGATATGCGCAAGTTGCAGGATTATGGGCAACCGCCAGCAGAGATATTGGCCGAGACTGGTGGAGATTTGCCGTTGATTGATCCGACAGTAGCTGGCGGTATACCAAACCCCCAATGCCCGACAATGTAAATGTTTGTCTGTATCACCTCGGGCTTTTCTATTTTTTGGTGTTGTGTCGTTCCTCGTGGAGTGCCAAGTTGTTGAATGTTGCACATTTAGCATTAGGACAGCAGTTATTTTATACATTTAAACGACATCACGTGATGGTTATTATATCTTTTGTTTATGGTTTTACACATATTGTTTTGCCTTAAATTGTATTTATGTTCTCTACGAAATACATAATATTCAAATATTTAAAAGAAATGAAAAGAAATTTATTTCTAAATTAAAGGAAGAAGCGACGTCTGGACTCCATGGCATGACGCTTGTTGCTGATGATCCAGGTGTAGTCGCCCGTTTTGCTGTCGAATGTACCTTCCTGCAGGGAGCGCAGCTTGAGTGTAAAGCGTGGCCCCAATTCCCGCAGCTTCACCCTCTTGCCCTCCTTGGAGAACTCGTAGCGATGATGACGAAAGAATATATAATCGCGCTGATTGTGAAATGTGACAGCACGTCTGCCCCGAAACTCGGGATCGTGGTGAAAGAGCGCGCCCAGCATACGACCCACCGTTAGACCCAAGCGAGTCGTAAAGTTGTTCAATATTACCTCTGGTCGATGCTTTGTGATTTCCTTGTGATTCCGCTTGATATCGGAAGTCAACTTCACGTTCGATAGCTTGAAATGCGCAGTCGGCCCGTTGGGCAGGTGAATGACCAGCAATCCATTAGGTTTGCGTCTATCTTCGTTGACGATAACAACATCCGTGAACTGTTCTCGCTCGGCGCTCTTGCAGATCTTCTTCACCGAAGCCTTGTTGCGTATCTTCACCAGAGCATTCGGAAATATACGCGACAATTCGAGGCCGAATTTACGCGTCTTTGTTACCGGATTGTCGGCAAATGTGATTAACACCTTGGGCTCATAGATGCGCTCGAAATACGTACTAAAATCGTCTAGCTCCAGCTCTTTACGCAGCTCCTCATGGTCCGAATCGTTTAGATTGCTCACCTCAGTTTGATCCTTCTCACGCAGACTTTCAATGGTGTGACCCGGATTGGCTGGCACTCCTGCCTTACGACGAGCTCGTCGCTCCTGCATCTTTTTCTTATGTTTTTCCTTCTTCATCTTACGAAAGAGCGCCATGCGCTGCTCTTTGTTTTTCATTAAGCTAAGAGGATTCAGCACTGGGAGGCGTGCTTTCTTTTTATCATCACCGTCGCCGTCCTCATCATCATCATCATCATCATCGTCATCGTCGTCATCATCCTCATTATTATCATCATCACCGTCATCATCGCCAGAGCCTGCCTCGTCCTCGTTCTTCTCATTTTCCTTCTGTTCCTTCTTTTTCGCTGACTTTTGGTCCATTTCTATGTCGCTGTCATCGCTGCTATCAGTGACTGGCCCTTGAGATTGGTCTTCCTCGAGTTCCTCTTCTTCAAAGCTGGAGTCACTATCTGAATCCTGTTCCACGGGCTTTGGTTGTGGTTTTCTTTTGATTTTACCCATGATCTTTCAATTAATATGAAGTTATTTTTTTAGAACTACAGACAAGCGGCACGTGTTGACTTTCTGCTTCTTAGCAGTAATGCCATTCACACAAGCAAGCTAGTGGTGAATGACAAAACAGCTGCAAACTTATGAAATATAAATAATTGAAAAAAATTAATAAATTTTGAGTGCTGAGACCATTCTGCGGGTTGAATAATGAAGGAATATGCGTTCAATAATAAATGTTTTCGTTAATGTAATCAACTTATGCGAAACAATAACCAACAGGTGATTATTGTGAATGACAAACAGATGTTTGAAAGCATGCAGTTAAAACGTAAACAAATGAGTGAAGATGGAATTTCGTGTATTGGAACTCTTTAGTGGCATTGGTGGCATGCATTATGCTTTTAAATGTATGTAAATGTTTGTAATAACAACAATAACATATTGTCAGCCCTTTAATTTGCAGATGCACAACTATCCGGCGAAGTTGTTGCCGCTATGGATGTGAACACAGTCGCCAATGCGGTTTATGCGCATAACTATGGAGCGACAAGTGTAAAGACGAGGAATATTCAGAGTTTAGCTGAGAAGGAGATCAAAAAACTGAATGCCAACATGCTGTTGATGTCGCCGCCCTGTCAACCGCACACGCGCCAAGGCTTACAGCGTGACGTGGAGGACAAGCGATCTTGTGCACTCGCCCACCTTTGTTTGTTGATTCCACAGTGCGACACACTTGAATATGTGCTAATGGAGAACGTGAAGGGATTTGAGGTATCTCAAGCTCGACAGCAATTTATTGAAGCTCTAGATAAGGCTGGCTTCCACTGGCGCGAGCTTATTCTAACGCCCACGCAGTTCAAAGTGCCTAATACTCGACATCGATATTATTGCATAGCACGGAAAGGCAAAGATTTCGATTTCGACAATGAGAAAATATGGGAACATATGCCAGGTACTAAACCTGATCCAGATCAGCAGCCAATGTGCAAAATATCAACAATTCTTGAGCCAGATGTTCCTGATGACTTCCTTGTGCCAGATGACGTGCTGTCCAAAAGAGTACTGGTCATGGACATCATTCACCCATCTCAGAGTCGATCTATGTGCTTTACCAAGGGCTACACTCACTACACAGAAGGTACTGGCTCGGTGTTTACACCTCTTTCGGAAGCACAATCCCACAGTATATTCGAAGCAGTTAAACAAATAGACATGGATCCCAACAGCAAAGATTCCGAAGAAGCGCAACAACGAAGACTTGAACTTTTACGTCGAGTAAAACTTCGGTACTTTACACCCCGGGAAGTGGCGCGGCTTATGAGTTTTCCCGAAGAATTTGAATTCCCTCCTGAGACAAAGAATCGACAAAAGTATCGATTGCTGGGAAATAGCATAAATGTTTGTGTTGTAGGTGAATTGCTGAAGTTGCTGACTACATAACAAAATACAAATTGTATATGAATTAAGTTAATAAAAAATTGGTTTAATATTTTTCAATTTAAAACAGAAACCGACAAACTGCATCGATAATAAAATTTAATTCTAGGCATCTAAGTAGCCCTGGTTGAAAACTATCGAGCCTATCGATTCCGTTTATCCATAATAGCCCATTAATCACTAAACCACAGACTGGCGCAAATAAAACCATAATTTTAGTAAATACAACAATATAAGGCAAAATCACTCAAAATGATACCGAAAAAGATGCCGGTAAAAGATGCGCACATAGTAAAAATAGCTGTGGAGCGCGAGAATCATATAGCGCAGCTTATAAATCTCGACCAAAGGCATCCCCTTGCAAGTATGTATACAATGATTGCTGCAAATATAAAAAACCATAAATAAAGTTTCTTATTGACGAGTCATGACATACGGGCGTAAGCGTGTAAGCAATTGAAATGTATTGTACTTTAGCTTTGCGTTTGCCAGGCTAAAGAAAAAACCCAGTGCCAACGCCCTTTTGTGTTGCAGTTTGTGATGTCAGCGTGAGGTCTCATTAAAATGCACGGAAGCGGACAGGAAGTGCAGATGGGAGTTTGATGATAGTGATGAGTGTGTGTGGGGGTGTTTAAATCCAGCTTATGTTTGATCAGTCATATAGTCAATGCGATAGACATACATTTAGACTAGATATCGATACGTTATAGAAAAGACATAGGAACACTTTAAGCTTAAATCCCCACTAATTAGAATCAAGTAGACTGTGCAAATCTATAAAATAATTACAAGTGGATTGTAATATATAATTACACACGCTTAACTTCATTATTTAACATCAACATATTACAGGTAAAATCCAGGAAATATGCAGCAGCTGGGGCATAAGCGATCATCAGAACTATGCGCTGCAGTTCTGCGAAACAAACAATATGAAATATGTAACGGAAAAGAATCGTAATGAGATTAAAAACGGCTCAGTGCTGCGACTGCAGTACTCACCCTCTAAAACGGCCAGCGATACCTTGGAAACTTTAATAAATGGCGTACCATTGGACAAAGCACAACGTCTTAAGGAGCTCTCATCGCTCAGTATGGATCACACGTTCGCGCTGGAGTTTATCAAGGAAAAGGGTTTGGATATACTCATTAAAATGATCGAAGATGTGAATCAAAAGGATGAGGATATACTAAAGTATAGTTTGGCCAGCTTTGTGGAGCTAATGGAGCATGGCACCGTATCCTGGGAGGTGCCCGAGAGCAGTTTTGTGGCACGAAACATTGAAATTGTACGCAACTTTCAAAAATATCCCCCTAAATGCGGCGAGAGTGCTCTCTCTAATCTGGAGAATATTGTCCAAAGCAGCAGTAAATATGTGCTAGTTGCCGAAGAAATCAAGCTCCAGGATATACTGCACCTGCTGCAAGATGGTAACTCCCCGGTGATGCGACAAAATGCCATTGCACTACTCAATGCGCTGTTCATGAAGGCCGATGAGTCACGTAAGCGTACCATCGCCCACACGATAAGTGCGAAACCCTATAGACTAGCCCTGATTGGCAATGGGTTGAGCACAGAGATGACCCACCAGCTGTATGTGCTGCAAACCCTGACGCTGGGCCTCTTGGAGAAACGTATGAGAATGAAAATGAATGCCCAAGATCAGGATGCACACGAGAAGATCAAGGAGCTCCGTCGCATTGCGTTCGATGACTATGCGGGCTCGCTTAGTCTGAATGATGAGCACATTCGGCGCGGTGGCAGCGGCGGCACTGGCTCAGGATCGGGTGCTGGCAATGTCAACTTTTCGCAGTACTATAAGAAACTTGGCTTCAAGTGCGACATCAACCCGGCACAGGATTTTATCGAAACGCCACCGGGTAGCTATATTAATATATATTAAATCTCTAATTAAAGAAATGTGAATAATATATAGATTTTTGTTTATAGGTATACTCGCTCTGGATTGCATGGTGTACTTTGCTCGGAACTATACGCAGCAGTACACGAAGATTGTGCATGAGAATTCCTGTCGTGCGGATGAGCATGAGTGTCCGTTCGGTCGCACCTCCATCGAACTGGTGAAGGTGTTGTGCCACATTTTGCGAATTGGCGAGCCACCCGCCGAGCAGTCGGGCGACTTTCAGCCCATGTTCTTCACTCACGATCAGCCGTTCGAGGAGTTCTTTTGCATTTGTGTCATCACATTGAATCGCACGTGGAAGGATATGCGTGCCACCGCCGAAGACTTTCAAAAGGTATTCAGTGTGGTACGCGAACAAATTCAGCGCACTCTAAAGCAGCGCCCCGAGAATCTAGAGGACTTTCGCAGCAAGATTGCCTTGCTAACGTATCAGCAGATCACGACATTGCGTCAACAGGAGCGCACCTCGAAGGAGGAATGCGATTCGACAGCATCGGCCATTGTGAAGCTAAAGGAGAAAATCTCACCACAAATTGTAGAGCTCATCAAGCAGCAGCGTCTCTCATTTCTAGTAGAAGGTTTGTGCTTAGATTTGCTATTACTTAGGTTTGTTGCACTGATATATAATTTTTAACCAGGCACACGTTTCTCCAAGTATGTGCGCGGCACACGTAGCAAGGATAAGTTCTGGTACGCTCGCCTTTCGCCCAATCACAAGGTCATTCATTATGGCGACTGCGATGAGAAGAACATACCGACCTTGGAAGAACTGCCCAAAAAGTTGCCCATCATTGATATTAAGCAGCTGCTGGAGGGCAAAGAGTGCCCGCACATGAAGGAGGCGCGCACACGCAAATCGCCCGTAAATTTTGCATTTTCCATAACATTTGAGAGCATGGATCATTCCACTTTGGATTTTGTGGCGCCCGACGAGACCATATTCAATTATTGGACTGATGGCATAAACGCTCTGCTCGGCCAGGAGATGACAAGCAAGCAGAAGAAAGAAGATTTTGACACGCTCCTATCCATGGAGATTAAATTGCGTCTGCTCGATACCGAAGGTGTGGACATTAGCAAGGACCCGCCGCCCATACCCGAAGATCCCGAGAACTATGACTTTTGTTTCGAAAGCTAAATTAACTCAATATTTCGTTTATTTTGATTTAAATTTATTGCAATAATCGATCGTTCCAAATTCCTCAACATACATGCCAAAGTGTACCCATTATATAGAGTAGATCCATACTCTCCGATCTGAATTAGTATTAACAGTGCAATTTCCAAAAAGAAAAAAAACAAATGAACAAACAAAAACAAATGGAACGCTTAGCCATTTAGTAAACACCATTTACAATACATATTTTATGTAATTATATTAAGTATATTAATATTAATATTAATAGAGATTCATATAAATACAACGTTTTATACATTAACCATTTTGTACAAAATGAAGAAGCAAATTGTAACAAGAGAAGCGTATTCTTATTTGTGATAACATATCTAACTGGATCTAGAAGATCCTTGCAGAATAATTGATTATTGATAATTGGATAATTGTCATGAATTTCATCTTGTTATCCTTCTGCAAGGACGCAGAACATGTTTTATAGATCTATCCCTTATCTATAATGGTATCTTATCAACTTGTCAAGAGTTTCTAACTAAATCGACGTAGAACATGTTCTGTAGAGATATCCTTAGAGATATACATTGGAATATTCTTATATTGAAATTATTAATTTGATAAAATACTTGGATTGTTGCTAAAAGTCAAGTAAGCCGTAAAGCCAAAACCGAAGCCGAAGCCGAGCCGAAGCTTGTGGAGCAAAACCAAAGCACAGTCGTCGCCTAGGAGCGGCGACTGTCGCTATTATCCACGCACGGGCACCTTGCGCCGGCGAGCATGAGCGCGCTCCTAGCTTCTTAATCAAATATTATCCTCCAACAGCAGATCGGTGTCATCGCCTCTATCCGGCAGGCAGACAAAGAACTCCAACAGATTAAGGACGGGACCACGCGAGAATGGATTCTGGTAGCGACCACGCTTATCCCTCAAATATGGATAGCGCTTGTAGTTGAACATCTCGTTCGTGGTGAGATTCATGCACGCGTGAAGGATCTATCAAGAGAAAGAAACTATATTACCCAGGATTGCAGGTAGTAAATAACGTTGCCTTACAGATGTACAGGTGAGTATCCAGCCAAGACCGCAGAAGACGATGGCTTCGATTAGACCCAGCACATACAGCATTGTGAATCCCTCGATCATTACGCAGTAACAGGCAAAGTAAATGGTAAATGAGCAATTGACGGCGACGGAGAGCACGAACAGAAAGAACCACATACGATTGCGCAGTCCCACACAGTTGTAGATGAAGGGACAATGATGATCGAAGTAGGATACACAGCGATTGCAGACCCGACAGTGCTTGGCACGCAGTGGACGTAGGCACCGACAGCTGTGACACAGCCGGGTGAGCATCACGTTGCGCTTCTTTAGCTTATCAAAGTAGGGTATCTGCTTGATAGCCCGATAGTAGGCATCAGAACTGAGCGGTATATATCCCGGATCCCTGCGATTCGCAATCGCCCAGCTGACCCACATGACTACGTTCCAGTAGATGAAGCAATAATGCGAACGTCTCAATATATTCCATGTAATAGGTATGGCCCTTATCATATACATTGGATAGCCCCAGAGCAACACCGAAAAGAGAAAGAGAAAGAGAGGTCCTTTGGAATCACCGGCCCCACCAAAGAGCCAGCCCCAACTCTCCGACACAGAGGGAATCCAGCGTGACTTCTTTTTTACTTCGCCGTAGAGCAGACGCACCACATCCTGATGCTGATGAGCTTGAGCTAGCATAATGGGTGTCTTACCGTTCTTATCCCTCGGCTCCAGCTCTAGTTGCGACTTCTCGCACAGCAGACGCACGCAATTGATATTCCCGGAGAGGCAGGCTAAGTGCAGCGGTGTTGAGCCAAAGTTATCCGTCTTCTGCAGCTCCACACCGGAATACATAAGCAAGCGCATCAGATCACCATGACCCTTATATGCAGCCCAATGCAATGCCGTATCTCCATTGATATCCGTTAAATTGTTTAGAGCACCCATTCCCAACAGATAGGCCGCTGTTGCAGTGCGTCCGTACATGCAAGCTAGATGAAGAGGTGTCAATCCTTTGAAATCCGCCGCATTTACTGCAACGCCCGCCTGCAGTAGCACTTGCACCACCGAGGCGTGACCCTTGCGGCAGGCCCAATGTATGGGCCGGGGTCCCTGGGTACCCAAACAGGGCAAATCGATTGGAGCCGTTCGTTCAATCAGATACCTCATCAGTTGGACATTTCCGTTGAGCGCAATCCAATGAGCAGGCGTATAGCCATGTCGATCCCGGGCGGAGAGGCATTCCATGCCAAACTTCTCCACCAGATTCTCCACTTCACTCACTTCCCCATTCTTGATGATATCGAAAATATCATCCAGATTTACCGTAGCACCATCCAAGCCCTCAAAGAGCATCATATTGCTGTCGTGCTCGCTACCATCCGTGTTGTTGGCTGCTCCATTAGCGCCTGGTGGTGAGTGGGCTCGATGATCAATGTCGATGTCAATGTCAGCATGAGCATGACCGTCTTCCTCCATGTTGCATGACGAAGAGGCCGTCAGGGGCAGCGCCCATACACTGCGCGCTGCCCCTGGGCTGGGGTGTACCTTGCTGGAAGCCACGTTGTAGAAATCGAATTCTACGCCAAGACGTTCCGCTGTGCCACCTGATAGCGGTGGTTGGTGGTGCAACGGGTTTTCCAGTAGATGTGCAATTTTGTTGGCTTTGTAAGCGACTGCCGCACGGATAAAATTCTTTCAAGCAAAAATAAACACCAAGTCAGAAATTATGTCAGCAGTTTAAAAATCAATATTAACTGCGAATGTAGGACATTCGAATTCGAATTGGCGCCAATTATAAAACAGCTGTGAATTTCGATAACACAACAGTGGTTCGATGACAAAGTTAGGCTACCCTCTCTACTTGAAATTAAACCGTTCTGGGATTTAAATTAAAATTTGGCTATATGCGACTTGCGAATAAACAATAGTTCAATAAAAATACAAACTAATAATATTCGCTACTTTATTAAACTCACTGATTTTACATTCCTCAACAAAATTCAATTTTTGTTAAATACCTACAAATAATAATATCTCTATGTTGCTTAAAGCAATATGTTAAATTCGAATGATTAAAATATTTAAAGGCCTGCAAGAGAATAGGCATATTATTACAATACCAATAGGAAACACTTTGAACTCTCACCAGAGCATGAAGTATCGAGGGTACATCCACATCGTCGTCAGTTTGATAGAAGTTCAATATCAAAGGCTGTAAATGATTACTCAAAACATACTCCATTTGCAGACGGCTGCTGTCGAAGAAGTCCTCATCAATCACTTCGATTGATAGCCCCAATATCTTAAGCGATCTACAGTTGGCAACTGTTCGCCAGAGATCGCTCTCGAGTTGCCAGTACGCGCAGTCGACCAAATTCAATTCTTCTAGTGCTGGCATATTACTAACCAGAGATTCAAATTCATCCCTCTCGTAGTAGGCACTGCACAATGTCAATAGCCGTAGGTTTTTCAGACATTGACCTTTGTTAACTAAAAACCGGATGTCGAGAGCGCTTGCAAGAAATTTACGTATATCCTGACCTCGTCGCTCAAAAATCTCGTTCATAATGCTTTCAGTTTCATGTGGCTCCGTATAAAAGCTAAACGACTGAAGTTTAGGCAAATTTAATATGCCGTTAATGGAATCGAATTCTATAAAATATAAAAAGCTTTCACTCAAGTCCAGTATTTGCAAGTCTGTCAATTTTTCAATGATTCTGCCATTTATGTACGACGGCGATTTTAATGATTTCAATTTTGGGAAGAGTTCGACTATAAGCTTCAGTGCCTCTTTATGTTCCCAGTGTGTTATAAAATCCACTGCGTAATACAGCGATTCCATACACGGAAAACATTGGCCTCTCCAACGCGTTAAATTGCTAATGCTAAAGCGATATAATTCTAAATGCTTAACTGTTGGACTGATGGCACGAATAAAATCAACCTCAACAAGTGTGTCATACTTTTCAAATTCCTTAAACAAACGATATTGCAACTTATGACTTGTTTTGCCTTGCCAAGCATAGCTCACATTGTCATATGTTCGGGGGGCGACGTCCTTAGATGCCACCCACAACCAAAATTGTGATAAAAACTCCAAATAGTTAATAATACGCAGTTGAACATCATCGTTCAGGTTTTCCATCGTCTTTTAGTCCGTATTTCATAGCCATAGAAGAAAATTTTAAGTTTTATTATTCGCTTAATCACCCTCAATTCTCAAAACTAACGGACTGGATGACTCACCCAATAGCGTTAGGTTTAAAAGTGTTTGTGCATGCAGTCTACGCCCGTAAAAACATTGCAAGTCTTATAGCAACTTGTCTTATGCCAGCATCTGTATCCGCCGTCGGAAATCCGACAATTAGAATCGATAATTAAAATAATATATTTGTACGACAGACTAAATATGTATGTATGCTTTAGTGAAATACTCAGAATGAAATGCTTTGAAATAAAAATGAAAGGCAGTATTAGCATTTCAACAAAAGCTAATTTCCAGCGCCTATATTCTCCAATACTCTGATCCTTCACCCTCTTAGTTTTAAATCCCTCGCTGCTCAACTGATGACAATGGCCTTCACACATGCTGACTACTGGGACTAGACTTAAATCCACTTCCCGCAAGCTTATTAATTAGGCCCATTAATTATTAATTGACCCTTACGATCTTAAATATGTCAGTCCTGCTGTACTAAGACATCAAGAGTTTCATCGTCTTCACTGCCATCCCCATACTAAAACCTATTAATAACCATATAGATTACTTCCAATATCGAGTGCAATTTTTTAATTTAATTAATTGGCAAAAATTTGATAACAGAAATCTGCCTCAAAACGAAAAAATTACAAAAATATATTTAATATTCAGTATTTGCATTCATATAGTTAGAAAATTCATTATTTTTAAATGCCGCTACAGTGTTACAGTCTTGGCTGATTAACGATCATAAAGAAAATACGAAAGCTTAGATTTCGTGGTCCAGTTCATCTGTTATCTTATCTTAAAAGCATTTATATTTTCTAAAGAGGTTTCATAAGCCAATTAAGTTTGTGCAAACTCTATTTTTGTATATTGGAAAGGAATTTCCTCCACTGGTAGTTTCTCAAACGAGACTATCAAATTTGGATGATTGAAATGTTTACTGATCTAAAACATTAATAAGTTCCTATTAATAAAAGTAAATATATGAAGCAGACGCCAGAGCTACTCACCAGATACTGATATTCGGCAGGATCACGTAAGTCCTGGCCAGTATTATAACAATGCATCAGAAGGGGCTGTGAGCGATTGTTCAATGCTTGGTACATGAAGTGTCTGTTCGAATCATAAAAGTCATCCTCAATCAGCGTGTTAGAAAAATTTAAAACTTTGAGAGAGCTGCAGCTGGCGACAGCTTCCCAGAGGTCCATTTCGTAGTGCCAAAATTGGCCTCCAATCATGTTCACTTGTTCCAATACTGGCAAGTTACTAACCAACCTTTGAAAGTGTCCTCTCTTAAAAAAATCTTCTATTAACGTCAACTGGCGCAAGTTTTTCAGCAGTAGCAGAGATTCCAGCGACCAAGTCCAGTCGATAAATCTGAAGGTCAATTTACATATGTCCTCTGGTCGCTGTTTAAGAATCTTAGGTAAGAGGGCTCTATTTTGTGGACTTTCAGTCGAGAAACTAAACGTACGAAGCTTTGGCAAGTTTAAGACGCTAACAATGGAGGCGGTCCTTAAGAAGTGCATATTAACTGTTAGGTGCTCCAACTGCTGAAATGTATGCAGTGATACTCCCTTATCCAAGACGCTGCGCTTATTTGACTCCAGCTCCTCCAAGAATTTCCACTTTTCCATTATTCCACAGTTTACTGGCCCAAACGGCTTAAACGATGTGATTCCAGGAAAGCGATCCACTAGCAGCTTTAGAGCTCGACTGTATTCACATCCATCTACTTTATCCAGTTTGTATTCTAGCGATCGAATGCATGGAAAGCTGTGCAGCATCAAGTGTTGCAAGTGTTTCATAGTAACTGATTTCAGTTCCATATGTTGTACCGTTGAGCAAATGGTACTTAGAAAGGCATCCTCCAGCTTATTTGAATTGTGCCCACTGTTCTTGAGAAACATGTACTTATAGTCTAAAACATGGCTTGATTTGCGTTGAAGAACATCACTGACATTTCTATGTAATCGGGGAGCGAAGAACTTTGAGGACGCCCATAGAAAATATTGTGATTGATAGTCCAAGTAGTTGATAATGATGAGTTGGCAATCGTCGTTTATGTTCTCTATCATCTTAGGGCTTATGTCCATATATATATATCTTAAATTTTTTTTTTAATTTCGTTTGTAAGTTTCCTTCAATTTCGCCCGCTGCCAAAATTGACTTAAGTCAATCGATAACGATAACGGTTATTTTAAATATCAGGTCATTTAACATTTTTTAGGTATGTAGAAATCAGTTGACAAAACGACAGGTTGACGCATACATATATATTATTTATATATAGTATTCATAAATATATTATATATATTATTTAGAAATAAATTATTTTTGCAATTTGGGTGGAATTTTAGGTGCCGCAGCCCTGGTAGATTATCGATAGCGATAGCATGTTTTTTGTTATTGGTCGTGTTCGTCTTCTCTTATCAGTTTGTTTTGTTTTGTGCTTTAGTTAATAAAAGTTATTTAAATCTAGCACATTTTATGTTGTGTTTATACACGGCACTATTTCATTCGCATTATAATTATCATGCCGCCAACAGAGACCCTACGTGCGGGCAGCGGAAGCAATGAACGAAATGTCACTGGCTCTGAACAAACACATATAATCAGACAAAGCAACAAATGCTACGAACATCGCGATTCCCAGGCAACGGCCATGTCGGTGGACTACTCAGGTCAATGGGTGTTGCTGGCTGGACGCGGCCATTTGGCGCTGCAGCGCCTTGGCCAAGATGACGGCACGTTGCGTCGTCATGAACGCCAATCCAAATATGAAATCTCCGTGGCAGAGTTTGCCATATGTCCCACACGAAGTGAATACTGTGCCATCGCGGTAAGCGTGGTGTTCATATTCCACAAATTTAATAAGCGAATCTAAATTCCGTTTGTCTCATTTATGTGGCTGCTTTGCAGACCAGTCAAAATATTGACATCGTTCGATGGGGTCCCGCCGAACCGCACTACGAGAATTCACTCCGTGGACACACGCGCACAGTTACGGATATAGATTGGCACAGCAAGGATCCCAATTTACTAGTTAGCTGTTCAATAGACACGTTCTCACACATATGGGATTTCCGTGATCCACGCAAGCCAGTCCAATCCTTGAATGCTGTCTGCATGTGTAGGGTCCCATTGAGATATATATGCTTGAATTATAGATTGTATTAAATCTTCGGTCTGTTCGCTTACAGCGGGTGCTACCCAAGTGGGCTTCAATCGTGTCTCTGGCAATTTGCTGGCTGCTGCCCATGACGGTGATCTTCGCATTTGGGATATACGCAAAGGCAGCTGTCCAACGCATTATATAACAGCTCATTTGAATCGCGTGCATGGCATTAATTGGAGTCACAGACGAGAGACGTGCTTAGCCACAGCTAGCCAGGATGGCACCGTTAAATACTTTGATGTCTGCAATCCCAGACGAGCGGAAAAAATTATAACAACGTTATCGCCCGTTTGGCGTGCCAGATATACGGTAGGATTAGCTATTACTTATGCAAAAAGCTTCTATTCAGATCCACTCATATTTCGGTAGCCCATCGGCAACGGCTTAGTTAGCATTGTGGTGCCGCATATGGGTCGTGGAGAAAATAGTCTCCTGCTCTGGAGCAACAGCAAGCAAACGGATCCAATTTGCTCATTTGTAGGCCACACAGATGTCATACTCGACTTTGCCTGGCGACCCAATCGGGAGAACTTTACAGAAATTGTAAGACTTGCTATATATGAATCCTTTGAGGCTATCAAATAATCATTGCATATACTAGGAATTGGTGACATGGTCGCGAGATCGTACACTGCGCGTTTGGAAGATCGATGATAATATGCTAAAGCTGTGCGAGCCATCGCCTGATGAGGATGAGGAGGTGGAGCGTGCCTCGCCACGCTACGAAAATGAACTAAGTGATTTGTCAACAGAATTTATGATGCGCCCAATGACAGCGGCTGGCTCGTTGCCCATAACCACCGCCACCCTTCAGGTGGGCACAAATACATTGCCCATGGCACGTTCACCCAGCTTTGGCGGTGTCTACGCGAGAAGGGAGGAGACGCATATTGCACGCTCGCTAACAGATCAGCCAACGTGCTCGCTGCAGCACGAATTCTCACTGTTGAATACGAATATGCCGCATGTAGATGTGGACATGCTGTGCGCGATAAAGCGTTATGCTTGTTTTAAGATCTGTGCCGCTGATCATACGATCATCTTGCAGGTGACCTTTCCCACTGCCTATCCGAGTCCAAATGTACCGCCCGAGTTCCAATTTTGTCAGGGCACAACGCTCTCCAGCGAGCTAAGCAACATCCTACTCAAAGTGCTGCGCAACAATGCGCTGCAGCGTGTGAAGAAATCGCGCAGCTGCTTGGAGCAATGTCTGCGTGCTCTCGTAGCCGCCATGAAAAAACGTGTCCCAGATGTCGCTGGCATTGGGACAGACCGGAGTCAACTGTTGCTGCAGTCGCCTAGATTGGAGGGCGCCTTGTCGAGCGCCTTGCATGATGCCTGCATCCCTTTCCCACGCACCTCGGGCGTTCATTTCAATGCCATTGGCATGCTGACCACCTTTGCCCAGGTGTTGAGTACCAAGCGTCTGACTTTGCGCCAGCAGACGCAATCCCTTACGCCGCGCACCTTGAGCGTCATCAATGGTAGCGGATTGCTGGGCAATGTGATGGCCACCACGACCAATCAGCGCGATCCGAATGCCGCGTTCTATCTGCAGGAGCGCATGATCGCCTGCAAACGATTGCAGGGCAAGCAACGCGTGATGCGTCAAATCAATGGCACCTCACCCGTCGTCCATGTCTACGATGCCAGCCAGCTGCTGCACATAAATCGCGAAATGGCACGCGACTTTGTGCTGGACAAGCAAAACATAGCGGCAACGTGTCGTCGCAACGGTGAAATCTGTCGAGCAAATGGACGATCAGATCTGCTGCCCATTTGGCTGCTGGCGGAGTTGATAGCAACGCCTCACTCGCCGCACGAATCGATGAGTTGTGAACTGCTCTTCTATAAGGATCCGTTTAAGAAATCTCTGCTGGAGTCGCTGATCATGCACTATGCCACCGCTGGTGATGTACAAATCGCAGTGCTGCTCGCCTGCCTCTTCGACAAGTGTCCCGCTGCTCTGATGGGCGTCATGGATGTGGCTGGCTGTCGGTTGCCCACACAGCTCCATGCGCAACGATCGCCTTATCATACGGTGCTGCCCCGTTCATCCAGCAGCAATTGGCAGCAGTTAAAGCAGTTGCGTAGCAACTCTTGGTCCGATTCGTTGGATTGGGTGGACTTTAAGCTGGGCCAGACAGATGCCTATGCATGCTCCCTGATCCGACGCTCTAAGATGCCGCTCTTCGATCAGTTCAAGCGCGCCTACGCGGATGTGCTCTTTGGCTGGCAATTGCTGTCCAAGCGTGCGCTAATCCTCAAGCACACGCTGCATACACCAGCTCCCACGCAGGGCGTTGAGTTTGTCACCGAATGCAGCGGCTGTGCGAAGCCCAAGCGGACGCCCAAATGCGAGCCGTGCAAGCGACCCGTTCTGTTTTGCATTCTCTGCTCCTTACCGGTGCGAGGAGCAGCCAATGCTTGTCTCTCCTGCGGCCATGGCGGGCACATGCAGCACATGATGCAGTGGTTCGAGGTGAGTTTCATATGTAAATATATATATATATATATATATATATATATATATATATTGTTTTTTTGAAGTGCTAATGATTACATCAACTTGCAGCGCCACATCGTTTGTGCCACGGGCTGCGGCTGCAACTGCTTACAGCGCACCTCCGAGCTGCTTGCCCTAATTAGCTGATCATCGAAGATCATCTCGCGGCTCCGATCGGAGTAGCTATACATTTACTCCCAATCAACGTAACTTTCTAGCTTATCTACGACTTGACGCATCGCAAATCAAAATATACATCAATTATTGTTGTTTTTGTTATAGTTATAATGGTTTTTTGTTTAGTCTCCAAGACATTTTGCAGCATTTGCATTGAAATATAATTAGTCTACATATTCTAACGAAATTGCATAGGAGCACCCCAGATTTAATATCGTAAAAATCTTCATATTGTAATATTGTAAACTATTAACAAGCTCAAAAAGATTTTTTTATCTAAAAATATGAGATCTATATTATACAAAGTATTGAAGCTCTTATAGAGAATTGAAAAACTATTAAAAAATATATATATAAATATAATTTTTTAAATTATTAATTTCAATTTTTTCTTGTCTTTTATAAAATTAAAAAAAAAAATTGATTTTGACACATGCTAAAAAAAATATAAATACTTTTAGACACAAAATTCATAGTTTCCAATTATTCCATAAAAATAATGGTTCAAAAGCATTTGCATTTAGCTTGTTTAAACAACTGCGAAAACTTTCAACGTCCGGATGCAATAATTATTTATTAGTTTTTTTTTTTTTTCAATACATATATATTAAATTTTTATTCTTATATAACTTTTATTTTTTTTACTTTTAGCTTAATATTTACGCATTTATTTGTAGTTTTGTATATATGTTTGTTTAGAAATCATCGTAATTGTTCGTCCCTCTCTTCAGAAAGTCTGTTTTTTTGTTTTGCAAAATATGCAGAATAAAAAATTTAAATTCTATAGCTCTGCTTTTTAACATTTATTTGCCTCTTCGATAAGCGTCATTATAATGGAAAATGAAATTGCGCAACGAAAAAATACTCAATGTTTGTAAAAAATTATATGTCAAAATAGATAAACTTATTGCAATTTGTTGATCACGCACGTTCCTCAAATTTTTGCTTTTATCAATTTTAATATATATACTATACTTTTTTTTCGAAAACATAAAGAACAAGAGCTAAGATCTAGATATAAGTATAAAAATTTAAAATGTAAACAAAGACACGCACACAAACAAATAGTAACGAAATATGAAAAAATTGAGGCTAAAACTTTCATCTTACGACAATAAGGATATAGTAGATATATATTGAGGAAAAGCTTCAAATTGAAGCTAGAGCTAAAGACGATGCTAACGCTGCTTAACTACAAACGCGTGTGCTGTGTGTGGGTGTGTGTGTGAGTTGGTGTATGTGTCGGGCTTGGACTGAGTTGTTGTCAGTGCCAACTAATGGGATGGGTAGTCATCTCGCTATATCATTTAAATTGATCACGATATGTTGCACTGCACATGGCAATAAGCAATCGTACATTGCTGCATTGCGGACTCTTGGGACAATTCTTGATGAACAGCTGACAATTGCGATAGAGCTCGGATAGCACTTTCGGTGCATGCTCACGTGTGATGGGATCCGACATATTAATGGCTAGCAGTGCTTCATTGAGGTAGCTGCAAATAGCAAGAAAGAAACATTAAAACCACACAAATTTGGGTAAATAAACCTATCAAATCTTCACCTCTGCTTCAGCTCATTGTGGTTGCTCATGTCTGCAGATATTTGTTGTATTAACGACAGCAAAACCTTTTGCTCGAGTCGACAGCCATCGGGCGTGAAGACCTGCATTCGATCTGTATTTCGCAATGTGAATTCCACCAGATTCAAATCATTGGCCAGCAATGCTTGATGGAAGGCCTTATTAATATGATTGGCGAGCAACAATTGTTTTATGCTCTCTCGCAAATCGTATGTGGGCGCGGGCGTTGCTGCCTGGGACCGTAATGCCATACTCTGATTATCCATATGCTTGCGCAGCTCAGTGCGTATGGTCTCCTGCACCTGGCGAGCGAGCAAGATCTCCAAGCTTTTTACTTCGCGCTGTGTCTCCAGCATCGCATCGGTTAACTCAGTGCGATGCTTTAGTAGATTTGTCTCCACCAGTTGCTTTAAGAGGCCGAGCTTGTTACTCAATTCTTCACCATTATGCGGCTGCGGTATGTGCTGTAGATACGCGTTGAATTCCACCATGACTATTCAAGAAAGTAAATACATTTATATATATATTCAATCCTCATTTGATTTTTCAATCTTACAATCTTTTATGCCCACGCTGAATGCCTCGTGTAACTGTTTGAACATATTCTGCGATGACTTCTCGTAGGCTGGGATTAAAGTGCTGCTCATTGATTCGATGAACGCCGTCTGCAGACTTGTCTGCACGCCAATCAGCACGGATTTGCCAAAGGCATCCAGGAATTGCTGAACACAAATTAGAAAATTGTTATTGCAATAGAAGAGACTCCGTTTATATTGCGGCTCACCTTGCTTTTGCACACCTGTGCTATATTTTCCTTTACCGTCTTGTCAAACACATTTAATTTCTGCACTATTTCCAGCTGCATTTGATTCTGCAATTGATCCATTTTCGCGTTGACACGCGGCAGCAACTGCCGCTGCAGCTCCATATTTAAAACGTTACCAATAATGTCCGTAAAGTGATTCATGACATATTGATTTAGCACTTGCAGCACCGAATCACGCAGCTCACGATTTTGAGTCTCACTTTTGTGTATTGGGACACGAGGAAAAATATATGATAATAAATTATTTAGATTATACAAATACATCGTCACACACACATCATGCACATATACAACTAGTCAATTTTTAAATATAACTTCTACAGGATACCCTGTATAATTTACAAATATAATTCATTGCCTATTAATCATCAATTCTGTTGAAAATCTTTCACGCTTTCTCGCCCTCTTAAACATTTCTACCACCCACACTCATTCGCTCTTCTCTTACCGTGCGTGCAGAAACTCGGTTAGTTTCTTTTTGTGTTCGTTCTCGTAACGCTTCAGATATTGAAATATGAAAAAATTGAGGCTAAAACTTTCATCTTACGACAATAAGGATATAGTAGATATATATTGAGGAAAAGCTTCAAATTGAAGCTAGAGCTAAAGACGATGCTAACGCTGCTTAACTACAAACGCGTGTGCTGTGTGTGGGTGTGTGTGTGAGTTGGTGTATGTTTCTTCTCTTACCGTGCGTGCAGAAACTCGGTTAGTTTCTTTTTGTGTTCGTTCTCGTAACGCTTCAGATATTGCTCCATTAGTTTGGATAATTGCATTTCGATTTTGTATGCCAGTTCGTTGACGCTCTTTGGCTGCAAGGCAGCAGCTGTACTGCCGCTCGATTGTTGCAACAACTGTTGCTGCTGTTGCTGTTGCACCTTGTTGATCTCGTGCTCGAGTTTATTAAGCTGCTCTGATTGCGCTTTTACCATTTCTAAATATCACAACAATTAACAATTAATATTGAATCATTTAACAATGTTATACTTTAGCTACCCAAAAGTTGTTCCAGTTTCGCATTTACTTCTGTGGCGCTCTCAACTATTGGATGACTGCAGTTGCTGCTGTTGTTGTTGTTGCTGCTGTTCAATGTTGTTGTCGTGTTGTTGTTACTATTGCTGCTGTTGCTGCCCAAGGTTGGCGGTACATTGCCATTGTTTTTATGCTGCACCGCTTGGGACATAATTTGGGCCGCATTTTGCAATTCAGCCGATTTTTTAGTGGGCAGCTTTGCATCCTGGGGCAACCAATTTGATGTTGTAGCAGCTTCCTCGACAGTTGACGAATTGGTTATCTCATTGTCCGTTCTGAAAAAGTTAAGAAATACATCTGCTATAACAAATATTCAAATTCGAATTCTTCTATAAGCGTATCTCACTCACTTATTTTCTGTTTTGCAAATCATAAAATATGGATTATCCTCATCATATTCGATATCTACCAGCTCCGGTTCGTAGTCATCTGTATCCTCTTGCGTTGCCATTATCTCTTGCACTTCACGACTTGGACTGGAACCACCACTTGCTAAATTCTCCGCTGCGTTGCGTTCCGGATTTCGATCAATGGCTATAAACTTCTTACGGGCATCCGTTTGCTCCTTCAGCTTTTGTTGCTCGCGATCCTCAATGTGCGTGTTGTTGATCAGATTCAAAAGATTGGTGTTGGCTGTCTCTGTACCCTTGGCTGTGACCGTGGCCAACATCCGCAATGTCTGCAGCACCTGAGAATTGATGGGCGATTGATCTGTCGTGGTTGTTGTGTTCGTCTCAGCTCCATCTCGATTGACAAGCACAATACTCGCCGCACTAGCGCTAAATGCATCCGGAGTCATGAGATTCAGCTGCGAATAGTTACTGCCATACTGTGGCGAAGCTGAACGTGATTTGTTAGTTGTTGCAGGCTCCTGCAGTATGGCCGATGGTGCAGCCGCAGCAGCAATAGCAACCGACACTACCGAGCCAACTGAATTGCGTTTTGATTTACCAAAAAGGGCATCGAGTGGCACAGCGCTCGAGCCGCTGCCTGTGCTGCTGTTATGCGAATTCGGCGAGTTACTCAATTGCTCCTGCTTAATCTCAGTAACATGGAGCAGGTTATCTGGGGACAGAGAACGTTTCTTTGCGCTGCTTTTGCTGCTATTCAAACTTCTTGTTGGCTTGCAGGGCTGGTAAATAATCTGGCATTCCTGCAAGCTTTTGGCTTGTACCACGAACATATGAACCACCAAAGCATCAGTAGTTGCGTTGCTCTCGTCATCATAATCATCGGGCTCTTCGAATGGATAATAGCTCTCATTGGTGCTCTTCAGACGACGCATGCTCGCGTTCACTATGGAAAAGGAGAGTATGCCCGAGCTTAACTTGAACTCGGCTATATTTTGTATGCGTATGGATGGATCGTTGGAGCCCGCGATGCTGCTGCTCGAGCCATGAACATCACAGCCATTCTCCGAATCTCCACTATCGCTGCCTTGTTCATTGCCGCCACAGCTGCTGATTTGCATGACATAGACAGCCAACGCATCCAAACTGGATATAACCAAATAGTTGGCACTGCGATCAATACCAGCTATAAACATGCTCGGCTGAACACTCGAGGGTACCGAGGCCATAACATTAATCGTTTGCAGGCACTCCCATAGAGAGCAATTCCACAACTTGATCTCTGTATTATGATCGCTGGTGGTGATAACATACTGCCAATAGGCACTGTATAAAGAAAAGAGCAATATTACTAACCATACATTATTTTTAAAGTACTGAGAGCTTACTCCTCCACTGGCTTGTTGATATTATCTAGAAAGAACAACGAGGCCACCGGCTTGCCATCGTGCGGTTTCCATTCGTGCAGACAACGATGATTGCGCACATCATACAAATAAATTTGATAGAAACGAACTAAACCATCCAGACAAGCAGCCGCAACGGTCGTGCCATCAGGCGATAAAGCAGCGCAGGTTATTAACGTATCCTCTTCTATCTTTAAATAGCCCGTTTCTAGAGACGAGGGTTTTATCTGCCCACGCTGCAAAGGGATAGTAGAAAGCAAATGAGCAAAAGAATTATATGTGACAGGCAGACTTTACTTACACCATACTCTGATATGATCATTCTAACATTGAAGCATTGGAACTGTTTACTGCGCGACCAAATTAATAGTTGATTCTCATCATCCTCTTCATGGCCAGTAGCAGTGTTTGCACTAGTGTTGTTATTGCTGCTGTTGCCGTTGGTTACATAGGGACACCAGGAGACCATATCATATTCGGGCACATAGTTCGCAATGGGGTCATCCACTTTCAGCACAAGTTTGCATATTAAATTACTATCGATTAGATCGATCTTATACACAAACAGCGAACACATGTCAATGACCGCAAGGATACGCTCCCTTTCGCTGTGTGCGAATTGTAGATCCAAGACCTCGCCATTCATGCCCTTAATGAGTGCCCGCTGGCTGGTGCTCGTGTTGCACACACGCACCATGCCTTCCATACCGGTGGCTTTGTTGTTAACTGGAAAAAGCCATTTGGTATTAATATCGAGTCTCGTTTGGTTAAATCTCCCACTCACCATTGATAGCATATGCAAGATGCTTGCCATCACGATGCACTGCCACCAAATGACCCGGATAATAGTATTTATGCTCCCATTTATAGTCAACGACATTCTTGAGCTTCACCTTGGAGGAACCGCGCGTATGAGAACCGCCGCAGCCATAAACTCGCGTGTGATTCGTTTTGATGCTATAGCAGCATTGTTTATCAAAAGGTTTAAAGTTGCTGAAAAACAAAATATTGTAATTAATGAAAGCAAATAGGACTAAATGCGATCAACATACATTATTTCGATTTTCTTCGGATCCGTCTGATTGCCATTGGCAGCTACGATCGCGCCGACAGCTTCTGCTGCTCCTTTATCCTGTTCGTTACTGTTGCTCATATTGAGGCGGGTTCCAATTAGAATTATATCTCCAGTTGTCTGCGAATTACAGTTACTTGTTAATGCCGCTAAGTGAGCGTTGCTTGTTGTTGTTGTTGTTGCTATTGTTGTATTGCTTTTGCCTTTGCCACACCTTGATAATGATTGCAATGGCTTACGAAAGATTGGCAAATGTGCAAGCGCAAAGAGCGCGATTAACATTGACGATTGCACTTTACTAAATAAGAATAGATCATATCAAATATTTTAACATTTTTTACAGCACTATTTTCCCCATTGTGTATCGATGTAAACGTAAACTAACCTGCACTTGAGCAGCACTTTTTCAATCTAGTGCTCGCTGCTTTTGCTACTTTCGCAGGACGTGCAAAAGTTGTTCACATATATGAAGCACGCACGGAGCAAATTGTTTAATGCTATTTACACCATTTAAACAATCGATTTGTTAACAAACTCACACGTACAAATTGTATCGCAAATTTTGCGAAAATTTGCTCCAATGCCGCAAAGCGCTAGAGATGTGTAGCGGCCTATAAAATACAATCGATAACAGTCATGCGTCTGTTATCGCAAAACTCAAACAGGGCTGCATATAATGCGGCGCCAACTATAAATGAATTTCAAATTTTAAGATGTTGCCTTTACAGCATATTATTTATTGCCATTTTGTTTAGCTTTTGTAACATCAACTTAGTACATTTATTTAATATATATGTAGATGTATATCCCTCAAAACAATACGCATTCATTACGTTGCAACGTAACAATATGATTACATAGTGCTTAATATCACTTTATGTTTTTGTTTGTCTTACATTTTTCTTTGTTGTTTTTAACACTGCATTCAGTTTTTGTAGTTTGTAAATATTTGAAAATTATTAACAAGTTGAAGATTTATTTTGTTTGATGACAAGGGAAATAATATACATTTCTTGATATATATTTATATATAAATTTATATATTAAATAGTTGAAGTATGCAAAAGAAAATCCGCTCACGCAGATTCAAACGATGATAGACTAGTATTTATCATCTTATAAATTCGAAGTTCGCATACTTGAGTGGTCCGTGTAAATTAAATAATTCTTGATTTCGTTTCATTTGCTGAACTGTTTATACAAATGCCTACAGAAATTGTGATCAAAATGTACATAATATCAATTTGTGTGTACGTAGAAAATAGTTTTTGCAAAAAACGAACATAACCTAAGCTAAGCTTTCAAGGAAATTAAATTGTTTGCATATTTTTACTTTGTGTGTGTGTGTTTTTTTTTTTTTTTTTTTTTTTTGTTTATAACTTTTCATTTTTAAAATACTTAAACATTTAAGCCTGGCTTACGAAAAGTTACTTTTTGCACATTAAGATTAAATATTTTGTTTTTCATTGCCGGAATGAATGAGAAGGTCGAGAATAGGTTTTACATTTCGTTTTTCGAGCTGTGCAGAACTGAATTTGTTAATAAATAATGATATATTGCCTGCGGGCAAACTAAATATAAGATTGAAATTGTATTTATAATCAGCCAAAAAGAAATGTTCAAAGAGTTTTGCAGTTTTCAAATGCATTTGGCGCCACTTTGTGATCACCTTTCAACTAGGGTGCAGAGTTTTTTCTACAGGTTCTTCGATTTCCTTTTCATTTACAGTTACACATTTAGTTTTTAACAATTAGTTCAATTAGCTTTGTGTGTGCTAAAGAGAAGTATACATAAATTGGATCTGCATAAATATGTATATGTATGTATTCTATAAGAGGCGTTATTATTGTTATTGTTGCTTGACAAAGATGTTTGCATGATTTTTGAGATTTAACTAGCCTACAATTAAATAGCAAAACAATAAAAACTTAAGCAGCGGAATTCACAATATGTTTGCCTTCTCTTCTTCTTCCTCTACTATTTGCAACAAATAGAAACAACAATAAAAGTGGCTGCTTGTTTTTCCGTTTTTTAATTAAACATTCGTATAGGCACCCGTGGAGCCGGACGAGCCGCCCGTCACATTCGCCGTCATTGGCGTTGATATTGAGGAGCCGGCACGTGTGCCGACATCCATATCCGATACAGTTGCTCCAGCTACAGCCACTGCTGCTCCTCCTGCTCCTGTCAGGCTCTCCAGCTTTAGACGCATCTCCTCCTTGCGGGTCTGCACGCTGAGCAGTTCGTCACTTAAATCGTTGCACAGATGCAGCAGCGAAGTGTTCTGCTCACGTAGACGCTGCAGCAGCTCCGTGGTGCTCATTTGATTCTGCTTGAAGGACACATGACGCAATGAATCGGTGATTGCTGTAACACGCTTCTCAAAGCTGTCCGCGCTTGGTAGCTGTCCAGCAACTGTTGTTGCTGTTGGTGCAGCGGCAGCTACCGGCGCCGGCGTCTGTGGCTTGCGATAAACTTCAAAAGCTGAAACGCGCTGCTGCGTCTGCAACGTAATGCGTGCCGATATGGGCGGCACAAATGCGGGCGGTGGCGGTGCAGGTGGCAGCGAATGCAACTGCTGCTCAGCAGCACCAGCAACTGTTGCTGTTGTACTGTTGTTGTTGCTGCTGCTACTGCTGTTGTTGTTGTTGCTGGTATCCAGCTGCAAGTGTATATTGTATTAGTATTGTTTGCAAAGCAAAAAGTGCAGAAGCTACTTGAATTTCGGGATGCATAAATACAGTAGTAAAAAGCTACGGCCAATTGTGAATGCATTTGTGGATTTCATTCAAGTTATATATCAAGATAGATAGATATGTATCTTTGTTTGGAACACTTACAACATTCGCATCGTCGGCAAAGTGCGTGAAATCGGCAAAACCCGTTGAGGTTTGCATATCGAAGCTGGCTTGCGCGGTTATCTTAATTGAAGTTGGGGTTTATATATAGTATATCATAATATATATATTTATATATATATATTACAGATTGTTTACATAAATAAATGAATAAAGAAATTAATATATACATGTACAATGGGCAGGCGTGTCTCACAAACAAATTGGAGCTTTAAGTTATAAATATGATTCGGTGTGCCGAAACTGTTTTATATTATGACAGAGTCAAGTAATTCGCAATACAGTGTGTACTCTATAAACGGAATATTAAATATATAAGAATACAAATTTAAAAAAAGAAACCTCTCTTGATTATTAATACTTTTACTTTTTATAATTCGCATTTCTATAGAAGGCATCATTTTAGATTTTTCTCTTTTTTCTTAGAGTGCACACTGTATTAAAAATTGTTAAGGAACACGAAACTTTTGAGAAACTTGTTTAAAAATTATCTCTTAATTATCGTTAACCAAAAGAGAGAGAGAAGGAGCGAATTTTTTTTTCTATAACTACAAAAAACCCGTAAAATCTGCCTTTAAAAGTCAACCGTCTCTGTTTTAACATTCTCTGTAATATTTGTTGTATTAATTAATGGCACTGCTAAGAAAATGTTAATGCGAGGCAGACCATTAACATTTGAATGTAAAGCTAGCGGTGGTGTATAAAGCCTGTAGCTGCGATTGATATTATTTGTGTTTACAGTATGTATTTTAAACAATTAAATCGCGGCTTAAGCGCTGACCCAATGCCTTTAAATAAGCTCGGATATACTGCATTTCAATGGAATCTTAAACGACAGACACCGGCGTTTCAATATCAGGATTAGCAACAGACAGCTCGGATTAACCGCCTTGTGAAATGTTAGCTAAGGTACCTATGACCTTCAGTTGCTGTTAACTGTTAGTAAATGGAGCACAACATTTAAACAGATTATTGGACATGGTCTCGTACTAGACAACAGACGAACAACATACACACATTTATCTATATATATAGTTCGATTCAATGTTTTAACTCACCTCTGGCTGTTGGGCACCAGCTGCACCAATTTTGAACTTATTCAAGTCTAAGCTGCTACTGCGTGCATGTCGATGAGGACGCGGCGGCGGCAAAGGCGGTGGCTCCTTCTTGGCAGATGTTGTGACGCTCGTTGCATAGCTTGACGGCGGCAATGGCGTCGCCTGATCCGGTGGCTCACTGAGACCAATGGAGCCAATACTTGGCTCCCTTTGCGGCGGCGGTGGCAATGCCCCAATATTATTCTTTGCTGGCAGCTTCTTTGCTTGCGGTCTTTGAATGGCCCGCAGATCGTTGCTTTCCCTCTGAATGTTGTGTATGCTGTTTGTAGCTGATGTTGTTGATGATGACATTGCTGCTGTTGCTGTTGGTATTGCTGTTGTGGTGGCTATGACTTTGGGGCTGTCCTCGCGCAGCACAACAACGCCTTCCACATCGGCAATTCCCTGTTGACTTGATGGATCGCCTGAAGACGCAATAGCCGTGCCTGGAAAGAAAATTTGTTTGATAAGCAGATGCATTATAGATAGATCTATATATGTAGTAGAATAACTACCTATGGGCGTCACACGCAGTGGCACGGGATGCAAGATTTGCGGATTGGAGCCCACATCCTGGGCAGTGCGTTTCATATCAAACAAAGCTGGTTTCAAACCGGGACTAGAAACGGCAGGAGCAGGCACACCAGCAGCAGAAGCTGAAGCTACAGACGTTGCACTTGCTCCGCTTGCCATGGCTGTAGCTGTCGTCGTGGGAGATTCACTAAACTTCGTCCATTGGCTGGCATCGTTAGTTGAGCTGGCAGCAGCGCCCGCTCCAGTTGTTATTGCTGCTGCAGCTGTTATCGACTTTTCCGCATTTGGTGAATTGGAAATGCTGCGGTGCTTAAGCACTGGCGTCGTCACCTCTCGCCTGGAGCTGCTGTTGCTAGCTTGAGAGGAAGTAGAAATGCTGCTCAGATTCATAATGTTCTTGTCGTTGAGGCGTGGCTTGGGTTGCTGCTGTTGTGTGCTGCTAATGATAGTATTGTCTGTGTGCTCATCGTCATCGTCATCATTCAAATGCAGGAGATCAGCCTCGGGCGGCTCTTGAGGTATAGTGGATGATGCCGAAGTGTTTGCCGTTGTTGATTTGGCCAGCACATTCGGATGCAAGCAATGGGGCAAACTGCTGGGCAAAGGTATATTGTTGCGACGCAAGACAACGAGATGCATGGCAGCCGTAAATTCGGATAGACTGAGAGCTCCGTCACGTGTTACATCGCACAGCTGCCAAATGTGACGCAGCTCCTCAACAGGTATGCGACTCTTTTCAAAGAAATTGCTGCAAAATAAGGAACAGCATATATAAATATTTATATCTATCAATGATTTCAGAGATATCGAAGCTTACCGCGCTGCCTGTCCGGAAAGCAGACCATGCGGATCCCGTTGCACTGCTCGAAATTGTTTATTGTAATATTCGCGTTGTTCCGGAGTAATCTGATAGAGAGTAATCAATTCACTTTCGTTGTCCTCATCATCGCTGCTGTGGCGATCGGAAGACTCCTCCTCGGTGCCCAGCAGCTGGCGGTGCTCATCTCCTAGCAGCCCTTGCCACAGCGTATCCTGTGCCCAAGGACGCTCGGCGACGCTATTTGTCGGCGTCGGACTATCGCTATTTGTGCTCCACGCTTCCGGTGAGCCACGTCGACGCTG